TAGCAGGACTTAGGGTCCTTGAGTGCTCCAGCATCCTCGTCATAGTGGGAGCGCATGAAGACATGGCATTGTGCAATCAGAGCAAATTGGTGGTCCACTATCAATTCGGTGGCATATAGGAGCAGCGAAAGTTTAACAGAGAAGAGGCAGTTTCTTTCTTCCTTCCCTTCTAAAAATATGTGTAATACCGACCAGGGTCAACGCAGTGTTCTTTGATTTACTACTTCACGGTTAGGCAGAGTTAAGATTATGTTGAGACAGATAAAAGGGCATAAGGAGCAATGAATTTGGTGGATGAGTGTTTAAGTGGTGCGTTTTCCCTCAGTTTGGTTTCTTTTCATGCAGAAAACAATGAAAGCACTTAACAATGCATCACTTAAATACCAGGTAATTTTATTCACTCAGCGGTTATTAATTAGATTTGTGTCCCAAAGAACTCTGGAGCAGTTCTGTGTAAAGGGGATCTGACCAACTACAGAGTGACTCCTTAAGTTGAGCTACGGCTTGGAGCTACCTAAGGCAGCGTTTTGTTTGCACTCTTATGGGAAGCACTATTACAAGTTTTTAAACTATTTCTTTGAAGTGCATTTCGACATTTGCCAGTAATAGTTTTGCCTTGTATATTGATGCAGTATATATCACAGTTATGAGCACAAGTGCAATCTTCAGCTTCATCTTAAGAATTCACAGCACTTTTTCTTCTCACAGAAATATGCACTGAGTCCAGAACACAGGACTTTCCTTCGCTGTATGTTACTCCGTTTTCTTTGATCCTGTCCAGACAGCATTGACAGTTATCAAGTAAACGTTTGTAAGTGCATGCGTAGCTTTGGTGTTATGCTGAAATTTCTCTTGTGCGACCACAACCAAGTGAACACCACTAAAACACTCTGGTTCAGACCAGAGCAAATTAACTATAGGTGTAAAATGCCCTTATTGCTAACTATAGTTTTATTTTATGCACTCAGTCCCCCATTTATTGAATGCAGCTCTGCACTGTGATTTGACACAGCCACTTGATGAACTACCTGCAGATAATACCTATCGACAGATTTTTCTCTCTGCTTCATTCACATTTATTGTAAAACTGTATAGGTGTATTACTGATCTGTAAGCTGCAGTTTTAATATGAAAAGTAAGTAAGGGAAAAAAACATAATAAAATACATTTGTGTGGTAGCTTCAAATATGGATTTGATTTATTTCATACATACAATCAAACAGTGCACACAGACATAGCCAGAGGAAAATGGACATATAAAGCAACTCATGATCCTTACCATTAACCTTGTTTTTAAAAAACAGATATTTTGTAGATTTTGGATATATGTTCATTGATATTTTTATACTTACTTACTTACATAATATACCTTTATTGGTAAATATGTATCAACGCTACATTTTACTACATCAATCACTACATGAAAGAAACTTGTGTTTCATGGCAATCGTTCAGGTAAAACAATATGATGGTAATTTGACAAGTGCCATAACCTTCCCAGCCTCCAACAATGTTTTCGTTGTGAGTTTTTATGAGGGATAGTTGTGGGGATTGCACTGTAAATATCAGGAAATAGTGAATGTACTATACTTGAAAATGTACAAAAACAGAGTAATTATGAGAGTCAGTCCGCTTGTATGCATCCATTAACATCATCAATTTGTATCTTTACATGATCACTGGTCCTTGTTATGATTTATCATAGTTTAACCATATTCAGGACATGATATAGAACATGAACATGGAACATATGATTTTTACATTATCCAGGTTACTGATCTTTTATGCAACAGTGTCTTTGACTTCTCAACATCCAAGAGTCCTGCTTTATAATTAATAAAGCATTTAGGCATGTCTTACAACTGAATAATTCTGCATTAAAGGTCCAGTGTGTAAGATTTTTGCTCTACTTTCATATTGTAGGAATGTTTTTATAATGTATAATTAACTGAAAATTAGAAAAATTGTGTTTCTTTTTCTCAGAATGAGTCGTTTTTATCGACAGAGGGTCTGTATATTGTCCTGAAGTATTTTCTTAAAAAAAAAAACAGTCAGTGTCAATCTGTTACAGATTTAGACAGACACACAAAACTGCTTGCATCATTCACTGCTGTTCATGTCCTATAATTAACGTAACTGGTCTTGCAGTTAATGAGAAGAACTGGTCCCCAGATGAGTGTCTTTCTACAGTCTGCCTATAGTCTTCACTCATTATCAGGTGTGAGTAGAGCAGAGTGAGCAGTTTTTATCTTAAAAATCGGATGCGCGCATTGAACAGCAGAGACAGAAGATTAAAAGTAGAAAAGTCCTCTGAAAATGTATTTAATTAATTATTTTTAAAAGATTTCTTCCTCCTCTTTGGTGCCCCTCCAGCTAGTGGCCCAATGGGCAACTGCCTAGCTTGCCTATTCCTCAAAACATTCCTCCTTAAAGTGCTTCTTTGTTCATTTTTATTCTCTTCACAGCTGATGTTAGAGGCTGTCCCATGTCCAGATGATGTGTGGTGGGTTTTCAGCCACATTGTTACTGTTTCTCTTGATTTCCACAGCTGATCGCTGTTTGGCTCGGAGGCTATGGTAGGAGGGAAAAAAAGAATCAGAATAATAAAAAAATACAAAAATGAAGTTATTTCCACATACATGTTTTATTTGCTCACATGCTGGATTTGTCCAAGAAGCCTGTTCCATGGACCACTCTCGCCTGCTCCACTCTCTCTCCAGCAGTCTCTTGCATGTGATCAGAGGATCAGATCCTGCGTCATCTTCACTTTCTACTTCAAGACTAAAACATCTTTTGAACTGGTCATCTTCATGTTGGTCCTCTGTTTGTTCTTCATCCCAATCTGAACCCTCAGACTTTTTCTCGTCATTACTCACTGGTTGGAAAATACAATATTCATGTGAGTGAACAAACTAATTGAAGATACTTCTAGAATTTATTTTAATGTATAGAAGTTATTGGACTTGACACACATGAGGGAAATGTAAAACTGCTTTGACTGCTTTAAATGTGAGTAACAGCTGACCATTTCTCTTAGCTTCTATTTGATATTTTTCATTTTTTATGAAAACTCCACATTATTAGAGGAGTGCATGGTGATTTGAGCCTGTGGGGAAGTTGAGCCAATTATTGTTTCAAGGCAACCATAATTGGTCATGTGACCACACATTTTAAAAGTCATAATTTAAGTGATTTTTCTATATTTAAGAAGTCCTGGTTCGTATGTCTGAACAATAATAGACAGGTTTGAATCTCACATATGTGTGAAAGTTACAATATGAGGATATACTGTTGGGATGATGTTAGCTCTAAAGTGCTGGATGGAACAAGTTGGTTTAAATAGCTGGGGTGGGGAAAAACGGAGAAATGGAAAGAGAGAAGAGACATTATCTGGTATTACACAAGAAGCATGCAATTAATATAATGAACAAACGGCACTAAAAAATCCTCATGCTGCAAGATTTAACTATTATTATCATTCATTTCTGCAAATACTGTATGGTGTGATGTTGATCATCCTAGTGGGACAATAATGTTCAGTAACTGTGTTTAAAAATAACTTAAATGTGTAATCTGTAAATGTCCCTGGATACTTACTGTTTAGTGGTGTTCTCATGCTTCCTGCAAGGATATGGTGTTTTTCCCAGTTCCTGCGATCCCATTCAATGTTGAGTTGTTCTGCGATCTCCTTGGCTGTGTTCTCATCTTTGTTTTCATCTGATTTGTCACTTCTGTCTTTCTGGGGTTGTGGAATATCTATGTCAGGGTAGGCACTGAGGTAAAAAGAGCTGTTTCCTGCCACCATCTCCTCCATCTTCTCCAGCAGCTCTGTTACCTGATCATCAGCTTCACTTGTGTTGTTGAGGACGTGATACCTGTTTCCACATTTCTCAATCAGCCAACGGAGAGGCTTCCCTTCACTTTCAATGTGCTGCTCAATAGTTTTGTCCCCCAAAGCGTCCCCGAATGTAAACAGCACGATTACATGTCTCCACACTCTCTGTCCGAGTATCCTCATGTTGCCCTCTATGACTCTTCTTTGTTCATTGGTAAACGATGTGTCAAGAGGCACTGCCAGCAAAATGACATTTGTGATGGTGAGCACATAGACACTCCTTTTAAAATCTCTGACTTCCAAAAGAGAAGGTGTGAATATCGCTGGGAAGGAATTTCCACCATCCAGGAGTGTCCACAATGACGACCTCCTCCTTCCCCACCTCACCGCTTTCTTTTTAAAGCTTTTATGTTTGTCACCAGAATGAAACACCTCAGCGCTCAGGATACTGTTCCCAGTGGCACTCTTCCCAGAAAAACACCCACCCGACCATTCAAGATCCTCAGGTTTGAGTGGATGGCTCTGTGGAACAGCACAGTTATTAGAAATCTTACTTTAAAGGACGAACTTCGTTTATGACAATTATTTTTGTCTTTTGGATTCTCATTTTAATTTCTGACAAATATGTAAGGTCAAAGGTCGACTTAATAGATGTTAAACTAAATTTTAAAAGATCTTTAAACGTGCTTTGAGATTTGATAATTGTGTTAATTATACTGTTACCAAATAAATAATTAAGAATTAACTTTCATGTTTAAATAATTTCTAGGAAGTCATTTGTATATTGGTTTTATTTGCAATGGTTCCAGCAACAGGTTACATTACCATAGAAGGATGACCCAAGAATTCTTCCCTTAACACTACATTTTATACAATCAACAAACTCAACTGACCTGGCAGGAGATTTCTGAGTTTTTTCCCTTTGTTGTTGTGATTGTAGAAGCAAACTCCTCAGCTTTTTTATCCACTTCCCTCCTCTTCAACTCAGCATTTGAAATCCGTGTGGCTGTCCATTTCATAACAACTGTTTTCTGCCCCATGGTGTCAATCTTGTCAAACAACTCTTTTGACTTGCTTACCATTGTCTTGTGCTCTCACAACGAACAT